AACCTGCTTAACAGGAACAGCAAATTCGCAGCCTTAGTCCATATGGGAAAGGAATGAACGAGAAATTAATTTCTGTTAATACAAGTATGGAAGGATTACGATTTTGGATTTACCCTATGAAAACCACTCTATGGCTCAAATTTTAAAGCGTATAAGTAAATGTTAATATCTATACGTATAAACAAGGTTTAAAATCAAGGGATCATTAGTGAGCCTTTTTACGACATACGATTAATGTAACCGTACCTGACCAGCCAAATAAGTCCTCAGTTCATGCGTCTGGGCATTATCCAAAATCGACCCAGGAACTGCGACGCTAACGGTGTAATTTCGTCCTACAATTCAGTGATAGCAGGAAATTTGCAAATCACAACATCACTTAATGAATCAACTTGCCTTCTGGGCTTTCATTCTCAATGTTGGCCGTTTCTTCGTTTTCGCGACATTTTTTTTCGATTTCAGAGATTTTTCTCGCGTCTTCGAGATGGCCAATAAATCGTTCTTCCTTCAACTTTTTAACTAATTTTTTTCTATCTAAATTCAAAGTCTGCTAAGAATCAATTTTTGAGTAGCATTGGTGGTTTCTTCCGCTAATATTAAATAGGACGAACTTATTGAATTAACTGTAGTACAGGTTACGAAAAAGGTCTGGAGGCAAAAACTAGCGATGTTAACCGATGAGAGTTGTTCACAGCAAGGGAACTTTCTGAAATAAGTATATGTGCGTTAGGAAGAGAAAAAGACAACCTTCAATGCGAGTTTAACGTGCGCCGCGCTGCATCGCTGATATTTATTGCCATATCTCTCTAAAACTCTAGAAAACCAGAAGTACAGAAAGAACTTGTTAGTACAATTCGCACTACATGAGATGTCATCATCCTGCGGCATCGATATTTCTGGACGGGATTGTGAAAAAGTCATTTACAATCAGGTAATTGATGGAACCAAACGCACAAGCCTCATTATAAGTAACAACTTTATTTATCATATTTAAAGTCGATAACAATGATGTAGCAAGGGCTACTAAAGAACGACATCCAAAACAGATTTTCTTTGGTCTTAAATTCCGTGAATACACCAGTAAGCTGTGCGTAAGCCATTGTGAACAAAATATACAGAATATATGGATGTCATAACACTGAAATTTCAGGATAGCGATAATCAATAGTGTTTGAATATCGAAACGAATTTAACACCTTCAGAATCGTAAGCAAGCCAAAAATTCAAGGGTCAGTGGCATGTGGCAAGCATTCTGGATCTTGAGTAACGATAGACTACATGCAAATGTATGCGTGATTGAGAAACTTGGTTTCGTTCAGAGAACTGTTTCTGATCCCTGCTCTATGGTGTAAAGTCCGGTGCCTATTAAAAATCACCGTTTTAACACGACGCAAATCAAGGCAGAAAAGGATGAGGCAACAATAAGAACAACAAAGTAAAGTAATAATCTACAAATATAACTTTGCCACACCGGATCAAGCAGCGCTAAGACACTGCTTCCTTATTGCTCTGATATAACTGAATACGTTTAGCGCAAAGATTAATTACGCGTCAATTTGTTGAGCACAGCAGTACTTTCTTGATGCTCTCATCGTAATCAAAAGCTAACAAGCCTTAAACAACGGAATAGGCTTAATCTGAAACACCATCTAAACGTTCAAACTGCAGTATTGGATATACATTAGGCAATGCTGATAGTTGCAGCTCGGTTAATATTCCTCCTCTCAAGCAAATATACGTAGGCGAACTGCCTATACGGCGTGAATTTTTTGGCAAGGGATCTAAGGTACTTGAATTCTTATAGCATTTTCTGGTGATTTTGATTTTTTTCAGCAGCCAAGCGTAAGTACATAACATAAAGCAGCAGCTTTTTCCTCAAAAATGATTCTTCCGGATGATGACCATTATCATGCCATTTATGAGAAACATGTAAACGCAGGTCTGCTTTTTCAGTAGGTTAATAAGCGCATTACCCCGCCACCCAACGGGATTTAACGGGGTAATGAAGTCACTGTATTGCTTCCACATGCCAACAGAGCCATTTCAGCAGGCCAGGCCACAAATCCACGATTTTTAATAAACCAGCAGTGTCTTGATATATATTCCACAATTTTATAAGAGAGATGGCCAAGTCGTCGCAAACGATGTTCCAAAAGTCGCCATTCGTCATATTATTTCGCATACAAAATAAAAATACTGGTATATAGGCTAGTAATATTATAACAGGTATAGTTCTATACAACCTTATACTTGATTCGACTGGAAGTAGTATAAATATTTGTCGATATTTCACTGATTTCATCTTTAAAACTACGGAATTTATAACCGACTGCAGTGCGGCTACACCAGTACTTCCGTAAAGAAAGATTGTACAAATCACTAGAAAGAGATGTGCAGAGCGAACAAACGTGAACCCACAATGGGTACTAGACTCACTATTTCAATACGTGCAAATTATAAGAGTTAAATAGAGAAACTAATAGAATTAACTTGAAAACAACCAATCTTTATTCGAAAAACAGTTCGTTGTGCATAATCATAGTACTCTATACCGCTTGGTAGCAGAAAATAATATGCAACTACAGAATAAAAATTAACTAACGCCAAAATAACTCCGCCAGGGCCGGTCCCAAGCCCGAATGAGAAAGGAGGAGGGTTGGAGACAGTGGCAAGTCTCCGTAAAATTCAGCCACCTGCCACTCATGGTAT